CACACACCATTGCACGGTTTGGAGTGGCTGTTTCCAAGACTAGTGCTCATCAACAATGATGAGAGCAGGGGAGTCGCACACGGTACGGTCACTACGATATTGACTGTACCACTATTTGCCCCAAGTACCCCGTGAATCAATATCATGCACTGATTTGGGCTCTAAATTTCCTAAATTTCCGGCTCAGCCATCCCTCCACCACGAGTAAATTGCGCTTCAGATGGCTAACCGTACCACACTAAAATACCTTCCGACATCATTCTAGAGTGTGTTATGCCTTGTCTTCCGGGCCTATTCAATGTTCAACTTATCATGTTCACCACTACTTACCTCTGTCTACATCACAGCTATCCGGACCATTAACAACATCACCGCAGACTACCTCATCATCATCATCATCATACATACTGGTGACATCACAGAGTGTTTCACGGAGTAGCAGTGAGCCAGGGTCACAGACAGCACCACCACCAGTACCTATTACATCAGAAGATGTTCAAGAGGAGACTACACCACCGTCTGCTGGTACAACGGCAAGTCCAGAAGGTACAGCAATTTGTAGTTAATAATATGTGCGTGTAAGAGAGAGAGAGAGAGAGAGGGGGGGGGGGTGGGGAGGGAGGAGGGAAGAGAGGAAAATGCAAAAATTTGAATGCTGTCGCTATTGGCTACTTCTCCTGCTGTGCTAATGACGACAATGATAATTCTGCTGCTGCTACTGCTGGTGGTGGTGGTGGTGGTGCTGCTGCTACTGCTGCTGCTGCAGCTGCTGCTGCTGCCGTTACTGTTGCTGTTGCTGCTGCTGCTGTGGCTGTTACTGGTGCTGCTGTTGTTGTTGCTGCAGCTGCTGTTGCTGCTGCTATTGATGTTGCTGGTGCTGGTGCTGCTGTTGCTGGTGCTGCTGCTGTTGATGTTGCTGCTGCTGTTGCTGCTGCTGCTGCTGCTGTTGCTGCGGCTGTTGTTGCTGTTCTTATTGCTACTGCTGCTGCTGTTGCTGCTGCTGCTGCTGCTACTGCTGCTGTTGCTGTTGTTCTTGTTGCTGCTGCTGCTGCTGCTGCTGTTGCTGCTGCTGTTACTTTAGCTGTTACTGTAGCTGTCTCTATTGAACACCATCCTGGATCACACCAGTATCAATCATTATCTTGTTACTTTAATTCACCATTCCATCTGTTGTACTCTCTCTCTCTCTCTCTCTCTCTCTCTCTCTCTCTCTCTCTCTCTCTCTCTCGCTCTGTCTCTCTCTCTCTGTCTCTCTCTGTCTCTCTCTCTCAACTTGTTCTCTCTCTCTGTGTCTTCCTCCAGTAACCGGCACACACTCCACCTCCAGTAGTGGACTAACGGATGGCCAGGGTGGAGATGACACCGTTATAACAACCGTGGTACCTGTTGTCGTCGTCATTGTTGTGCTCCTGATCTGCATCTTGATTGTTTTGTACTTGTAAGTGTTCACTTCATCAGCTTGGTTTGTGTGTGTGTGTGTGTGGGGTGTGTGTGTGTGTGTGTGTGTGTGTGTGTGTTTGTGTGTGTATGTGTGTGTGTTTGTGTGTTTGTGTGTGTATGTGTGTGTGTTTGTGTGTGTGTGTGTGTGTGTGTGTGTGTGCGTGTGTGTGTGTATGTGATGTACAGTATATCAGGAATCACTACAGAGTCTGTGTGTTTGTGAACACGGGAGTAGGGATGCAACAAGGGAGATAGGAACATGAAATATTGTTGGTTTCACTCTCGGGCTGCGCATTCCAGTTAACCCTTGCGGCAATTCCCATATGTGCATGTTTGTGTGGAAACTACAAAGGAAATGTTTTTTTTGTTTATATTTTAACCCTTTGCGTGCTGAGTACGAGTTAACTCGCACTTTATGCATGACCTGATCCACTTAGTACGAGTTAACTCGCAACAATTTCGCGCGATATATCGCAGTGCATAGACCAGTGTACAAACTTTCGTAACTTCGTCAAACATAAACGCATCGCGACAATCAATACACCGTTGGAAAGATCTTGATCTCATCTTTCCGGGAATATAAAGGTCTTCGCGATAGAATAAGAATGCATTGAGCGGCGACAAGATGAACACGGAAATCACGGCCCAGAGTGAACGCGAATTTTTTTTTCATGACTTCTTTTTGTTGAGGAGCGTGCCAGGGGATTTCCCTTTGGCGCGGCGCATGCGTGATGGACATCAAATGAAGCGCTTGGATCTGAGCTTTGCAGCGCAGTTTGAATTGTGAAAATCTGTTGAACAGTTTGGGCAAGAAGCCGAACAAGAATGTGAAATTGAGTTGTTGTGCCGTTCCGAGGCACGGTGGAGTAGTTTGGAGAGGACGTGGAAGTGGCCCTGATGTGTCTATCGAGCTGAGCGCTGCCAGGATGGATTCGCTTGGTCCCGATCTTTCCAACGAGCCCAGGTCGATGAAAATCCATCAAGGTGGAGTGAAATGAGAATAAATTTCGTTCGGAGCTGTGAGTGCATACTCCACCAAGAGAGTCATTGCGCTAGAAAGCCAGTGGATTGGAGAAAAGGGGCTCAGCATGCAAAGGGTTAATACAGCGAAAAGGTTTTTCCTCTCTATTGTTGCAGTACTGTTACCGTTTGTGAAAATACCACCAAGTCATCTCCATTTTACAATACTGTTTGTGCTTCAGTGTGATGCAAAAGAAATCCAAGCTGGCTGGTCGTTACGATGAGAAACCGTTGACTAAGGAGAACCGTGCCGCCGATGCAGAGAAGACGGAAGACACCGGACCAGAGATTGAGATGGACATCATGGCCAGCATGTATGTACTTAATCAAGATCAGTGGTTACGCTCCGCCCTTGTGGTGTTGAGCACTGTTGAAACCTGGGTATACCCACTTATGTAATCAAGATCAGTGTGTATGTTCCGTAAAGTACCGCAAGAGCGCTCCACCATCCCCGTCCCTTAATGGTCACTTTGTGGATGTGGTGTCCTGTCTGTAGGTCATACGACGCGTGATATGTACTCGCATTTCACGGTGTACAACCATTTCGTACTCATCTTACCTTCGAGCTAATGCGAGCTCCACACAAACATGAAGTGTGACCTTAGTACACAAAGGTTCTCACACCATACAAGCTAGTTGCACTCTGCCATACTATTCCCTGACTTTCCCTGGCTGTGAAAACAAGATTGGGCGCTCTGTCATAGTACTTTACGCTACATAATCATGTCTCACATCACAAGGGTGTTGTCAAGGAGACAGCCAACAGGCGCGTGCGCCGGTGCCCTTCAAGGGGGGTTCCCCCGGGAAAATTTTCAAAAAAAGAAGCAAAATCCTGCATTTTGAGCGAAAAAGGGGGGTCCCGGGCACCCAGGAACCCATACGGCGCACGCGCCTGGCCAACCAGGAGCCAGTGTGCACTGTGTGTATAGCAGTATGTCTCACTATGATCAGCACTAATGGGTTCTGAGAGAATGGTTGATGTGCAAGCTTCAGGATTTAGATGTATTTCAGGATCCGAGTAATGCCGTTCGCATGTTGCTGATGGTCTTTCCACCAGTTCAATGTGCATGTCATTGTGTGTCATACTAGAGAGGTTTTGCAGAGCGAACATTCGCATGGATTTTCGCGTCTGGGCTTGCGAATATTTCCGCGGACATTCGCGCAAAGTTTGTGTTTTGCATGATTTTCGCTCCAAGAAGAGTACACGTGCACACGCACGATCGTGCTTGTTTTAGAAGTCATCTCCGGAGCTTCATCCTACTGAGATCTTATGTCTGCGAGTGGCAGCACGCTGATTCGGCCTGAGATGTGTCCACTTTGACTACGTTGTCAATGGCTGGGGACCCACAGACAAACGTGTTGGCCTGTGCCACAAGCCGGCGCATCCCTGCTGTAGCGGAGCAGACAGGCGATGGGAGATAGTTCCGGAGATAGAGCAGCATGGGCTGCCATACGGGAAAAGTAGAACCAGCGGACAAAGCAAAGAGTAGACCTACAGGATTGTGAAAGATTCTTAAAGATTGTTAAAGATTGTGAAAGATGAAGCACAAAACCGACATGGCGTGAGAGTGGTTCACCACTGGTCCGCAGTCAGCGAAATTTACTGCGAAAGTTTGTTACCCATTTCCTTCAACCTTCGCGTCCAAAGCTGCGAACGTTCGCACGAAGTTTCGCTTTCCGTGACGTCAAACGAAAATCCGCGCGAACATTCGCTCTGCAAAGCCTCTCTCTTGAAAATGTTTGCCACAAGAATTGAGACTGTATAATTAAGATCTTGCAAAGCATCCTAGTTTGTCATGCCACATTGGGAGATTCGGCGGTTGTTTGCGGAAAGAAGCATGCCCATGGACACCATGGAATATTGGTCATTGGTACAGATGCATTCGTTATACAAGGACACATTGGTACAGATGCATTCGCTATACAAAGACACGTTGGTACAGATGCATTCGTTATACAAAGACACGTTGGTACAGATGCATTCGTTATACAAGGACACATTGGTACAGATGCATTCGGTATACAAAGACACATTGGTACAGATGCATTCAGTATACAAGGACACATTGGTACTGTTTGGATCGCTGTATGCATACTGCAGCCATCCAGAATTGAATGGAGCCAGTAGTCTTCAACGAATGTCTGCAACAGGATCACATGGGTATGTACGATGTAACACCACTCATCACCATGGCTTAACATTGTTAGTGTGTACGGTAGTGGAGGTGTGCTGGTTGCTGGTTGCGTATGTGAATGAGGTCGACCAGAGAGTGCATGTGCTGGAGTTAGCGATTTGTTTAATTTAGTAAAGGTGTGCAGCCAAACAACCCATATCTATACCTGCTGAGGCTGTACAGTCCATATCTATACCTGCTGAGGGTGGACAGTCCACTTAACGGTATTGTCCGGAGTATAAGCAGCACATTGAACACTCAAAAGTCACCCTACAAAAGGGGGAGTGCTGCTTACACTCCTATGATCAAATCAATGGTGGTAAATCGGGTAGGATGTCGGGGTGCGGCTTTTAATCCAGTGCGGCT